CGAACGTTCCTAGTAGCGATGCCCTTTGCTGATAGAAGCTTTAGAATTGCCTGCTTGCTAATCACAAAAGCTAGCTTCAGCTAGCTGGAGATACTCTTGCTCTAGCATGTTATTGCCTGGGGCATGGAATTGGCTACCCAGTGGATTATCCACTGCTAGACATCCCCCCTCCGCGGCTTAAGCTCCCCTCTGGAGCATGTCAGATTTGGGAACTTAATAGTTCTGATAGAATCCGTTCTAGGACCATTATGATTCACATCATGCCGCTCATCCCCATCCGTTTTATGGCCATGTGATTGGATGCAACTAGCTTTCGTCACCAACCCCCGACCTCAAGTAGGAGCAAGGACGCTACTAGGGACTCCTGGCATCGCTAGTAGGAGCAAGAAGCTACTAGGGGCTCCTGGCCGTACTACTAGGAACAAGAAGCTATTAGAAACAAGAAACTACTAAAGTATTGCCATTGATTAGAACCCCAATGAGGGCCCCAATGTAGCACATTGTCATGCGGCCTCACTATGAGGCACTAACTTCCATCACTGGGCCCTGCCATGAATTGTGCTGCATGCTGATACCTCTCGGTTGCCTAAGGTTGTTGTGAAGGCCTTACGAAGATACAAAGTGGATGATAGTGACTCGGCCTGGCAGTCTGGTGGACTGTGAAATCCAGTCAGAATGAAAGGAACAACACAACTGTTACCCCAAATCTTGAATTGGATTTCTTTTGGCTTCACACTGCTTCATCACTTGCATTATCAAAGTACACAAAGTTACAATTGGGACAGGGGCCGCTGTTCCACCAAATTGGGTGAGGAAAGCACAGTGAGCCCACAACTTCTAGAACAGACATTCATTGTCCGCTACTGCCGAAGACAACTGGTTTCACGTCCAGATCACGTACAGGTGTGCTTCTTTCAGAGTCGGTTCAAATTAAAACAACGCCACAAAACGGATGTGTGCCGCATCTGAGTTTTGTGAGGTCGACTGCGGGCGGTTGAGGCAAGGTCACCGCCCATGACGTGAAAGAACCTCCAGACGTGGCTTCTTGTTCCTAGTAGTAACAAGTGCATCGCTAGTAGTAACAAGTGCCTTACTAGTAGTAACAAGAAGCTAGTAGAAACAATAAGCTAATAGTAGTACGGCCAGGAGCCCCTAGTAGCTTCTTGTTACTAGTAGCAAGAATGCTACTAGTAACGATGCCAGGAGCCCCTAGTAGCGGCCTCGCTCCTAGTAGGGATGCCCTTTGTTCCTAGTAGCTCACAATTGTTCTGGTGTTTTTGCGTTGTCACCAGGTGGCCACCTCCATGATGCAGGAGAGGGACAGTTTGCGGATCACTTCTACCAGAACCGAGTGTTCTCGACTTTGTTCAAAAGGCAAATACTAACTAACCTAGTAGCGATGGCCTCCAACCTACTAGCGGACTAACCTCTAGGACCTGGCAAATACTGAACCTATTCATGATCAATCTCTCTTTAGGAGCAATCTCTTCTGGATGGTCTCATGGCTGAAGCACCACGAGACCCAAAGTGCCAGGCATTGCTGTTGCTGCGTCTCCTAAGGATCCAACGGAGAGGTACTTGTCTTTCGGAACATGTGATTTGGGTGCTCCCTACTCAATAGCAATGGCCTCCAACCTTCCTTCCGGGAATCCGTTGAGCCTTTCAGGTGATAGATGGCTTCACACATAGTGACGGCAGTGGTCAACTGAGTTCCAGTCACAGTAGGGTTGGTGGAGCCCCTGCCCAGACGGACCTGCCTGGAGCAAGCATCACCTATGATGAGGAGATTTACACCGCTCGCTCGGAGTCAAGGGCACGGTGGATGTCTATGCTACGAGTAGACTGCTCCTAGTAGCTTCTCGTTCCTAGTAGTAACGGCCAGGAGCCCCGAACGTAGCGTCCTTGCTCCTAGTAGCGATGCCCTTTGCTCCTAGTAGCGTGCTCTAGTCATGACATTTGTACAGTAGCACAGTAGGAGGCAAAGAGTTTGATCTTAACTAAGTGGTGCTCCACAGTCGCTAGGCTGCTCCAGCTAAGCGAGTGGATCTAGTGACCTCGTTTTACGTTTTCATAAGAACCTTCAATGTGTTCCACTACTAGTAACAAGAAGCACTAGGGGCTCCTGGCCTTACTACTAGAACAGGAAGCTACTAGTAACAAAGGGCATCGCTACTAGGAGCAAGAA